GAACGAGAAAGGAAATGGTAGGTGAACAACGTATGCTTCCCTGTGATGCACCAGTGGCTGCCGGAGCTTGAGTTTTTACACTGCACACTTCCCAACGTAGTAGCCGAGATTTCGACTCTCTTTGGCGAGTATCATCGGCCGACTGTGGAAGTGAGTCTTCCCTGACGAACGACGAAACAACCAAGTAATCATTCAATGTGCCTTCGGGATTACACTCATTAAACTTGATACAAACTCATTTATTCTTTTGAATTTATTCTCAAATAGTGCAATTTTGCTCCAGATAAATTGTCACTGGCGCCGGTATTCTTTCGCCCAGGGGTTATAAGCGAAGTGAATCGTGTTTTTTGGTACTGATCCGTCTGAAAGTAAAAGTGTAGTGAGCCGCGATTATTTGACACATTGAACGCCGCGGCGTTTTTGCGGCGACTCCCGTTTTTACTTCCTGCGTCTCCGCGCGCGTGAATTGCGTGCAATACACAAACGCGCGAAACGGGAGTCTTTGTGCCGCATGCCCCTTTACACGCACATTCTGGTTACTTTTGCGCTCATTTTTACATTGTTCAGTATGAATGATGACTTTTTTAGCTGCATAGATGGATCTGGACAACGTAGAAGATCTAAACGTCACTTTTGACCACATAAATACTGTTATCATAATGAATTAAACACTATCAAATGTATTGCAAATTGACACTAATTATCACTAGAAGTCTTACTACCATTGTAGCGATGCGGAGCTATCATAAGAGAAGTGCAACTACCGCGCCACTGACTGTTATTTTGTAATAATATTAATGAATTACTCCAATGAGCAGCTTATTTCACGCCATCATGAACTAAGCATAAGCAAAGCTCACTGAACATATACACGGTGAGAATGGTTCAAGTCGCACTCTTATCCACGAAAAAACCGATCCACAAAACGTGAATTGTGGGCAATACACAAACGCGAGAAACGGGAGTATGCGCGTGTATTGCCGACAATTCACGCGGCGTTCAATGTGTTAAATTACTGGTGCCCTTTTGATCTATCACTGAGTAGTACTACACAGAAAACACAGATAAAATATGGATAACCCACCTGGAAAAGCAAAAAAAGAAAGTGTAAAACTCAACCTAGGAGAGTGTAGCGCGGTCAGGGTACGCCATCGCGTTGTGATAAATTTCTGCTCAATACGACTCCCCCCCCCCTTGTTCCTGCTACTCTCGTAGCAAAGGACCAGATCAGCAGCGGACAAACAAACACCGAAAAATGGAAGATCTGCGAAAATAAACGACAAAAAAGACGCGACGTTAATCAAGGATAAATGTGAGAAACACGAAGAAAATGAGCCATAATCCTACTATATATAATCCGCTAAGTATGTCTGTAAGTGTGTGTGTGTGTGTTTGTGTGTGCGTCCTGTCTGTCTGTCACGAAATTCATAGCACCCGTCGCAGTAAGCGTGGGACGTTGGATCCAAGAGGTGATATAGGGTGTGGGACGGGAACATTATTGGCGGGTGACAGAAAGTGATAACAGTTGATGTCGTTACTAATAAGCAGTGAGGAATGAGTTCTGTTGGAATCATTGAGATCGTTATACTTGAGTCATATCGATCGCATTGTTGTTGTGAGCGGTGAAGCGGATTTTCCCATGTTAACTTGTCACTTTCAGCTCCTATCACTTCCGTCACCCGATAATAACATTCCCGTCCCATATCACTATCATATCACCCTATATCACCTCTCGGATCCAAGGTCCCACTGTTGCTGTAACCTGCGTTGCGAATTTGACGACCCTTCCCTTCCGACACCCCTTATCGCCATATCCTTTCCGAGGTCCCTTATCGGTGACGGAAGTGATAGGAGTCGAAAGTGACAAGTAACATGGGAAAATCCGCTTCACCGCTCACAACAACAATGCGATCGATATGACTCAAGTATAACGATCTCAATGATTCCAACAGAACTCATTCCTCACTGCTTATTAGTAACGACATCATGTACGACCGCTAAGCTAGCTCTATTCCAAATGCATGGGTTTGTTTACAGAGATGTTATGAACAGCAGCAATTGACTTAATCACTCTTACCACAATTATCTTCCATCAACAACCTTAGTGAGGGCCATTTAAAGGGTTCCACTGCTGAATGCGGGAGTGCATTCCAAAGCAAGACGCTTTAAGAGGACAGAATGCATGAATCATAGGCTGCTTCAGCGGCTATCCTAACAGGCTGCAATATTCCCGTGTAGGTTATGAACGTACCAGTCGGATCGCTGGCTAAGGCCGGCTCTCCTCCTTCTGTGATGCGGCGGGCTGCTGCTGCTTCTGCGTCTTGACGGAACGGGCGCTGCTTTTCAGTTCTTGGCTGATGCAGAACATTCCTTTGAACAGTGTGGTTGGTCAACGATCCGTAACTTAGCACGCGGCAAATCCGCATGGCCCGGCGAAGCCGGGCCATGTCACAGAAGGAGGAGCGCCCGGCGACAGCTGGGCGATCCAACCGGTAAATCATAAATAGGTAAAAAAAAGTAATAAATCATAAATGAGCATTTAAAAACCCAAGGAAAGAAAGAAAATGCGGGAAAATGCAAGTGCCAGCACTTGAATATTACCTGTTCGCGGTCATTCAAAGGTAAGCACGCTTTGTGCTGTGGTATTGGTGCAAACTCTTTCACGGTTTGGATGCGGTCTGAAGCCTTAAAACTTCGAGAATACCCTTCGCTTGCACATCCATAAGCTCTTTGAGAGTGGAGCTCTCAGAGAAAGCTGGGCTGTAGAGCACTAGGTTGACACTTATTACCTGAGTCTAAGCGATTCCGACAAAAAAAACCACTTTTCAAGGAACTACTCCGTTGCGATCCCGTTGTGATTTTCCGGGGTCATTTACAAGGTCTTACGCATTGAACTGCCATAAATCTTCATGCAAAGCCATTCGTGACACAAAAAGCAGCATCGGAATTTCGGACGTCTGTACTTTCCAGCGAGACTTTACCTGCATCCCTAATCCTGCTATTCTGAAGCAGCCCCTTCCGAAAAACACGAAAAACCCACCCCTCCGACACCATAAAAATTCAAGTTCCTTGGAGATTTTGGTATAGTTCATGAACATATGTTCGAGAGGGGTATCAGGAAGTGGTTCATTACGGCGCCGATTGGCATCACCTCTGTAATGCGCCATGCATAGGGCTCTCACGCAGAGGTATTGGGAAGGTGCAACTTCTAGATAGGGCTTCCTCCGTGCAAGTAGATGTGCTCCTGCGATCAGAAAGGTCCGGACATGTATTTTCATCTGTTTATTAATTCATGTCGTCCATCGTGTTTCTTGTCATCGCCCGTTCCCCACTTCTGCGCTGGCAGGTTGCTTCTGTCTTGTGTGTGTCTCTTCAGGGGTTCTTCACATGGATAAGTCTTTCATCATTGAAGCTGAACGACATCTGGGTATCGCTGCACCCTCACTTCCGTGAAGACCCTGCACTTACGAGCACATCTCCCTTGAAGTCAAATACGACCCCTGCTGTGATTATCATAAAGATGGCGTGCCCTGGGGTCGGTGTCGAACCAGTTCTCCAACAGTTGTCGAAGCGAGCAAGTGTCAAGGCTCTATCATACCGCTGGTATCACCAGGGCACATCATTGTTGGAGAATCCCCAACAGGAACACGCATTTGGTCGCCGGGAGTGTGGGGTCTATTTGGGCCTAAGAAAAAAATCATTTTGATACTGTTTATATTGCTATGCCACTCGAGGTTTTTAGGTGGAAATCTTTATTTACGGCCTAACGTTTCGACTTGGTCGTCTTCTTCAGAGGCCTAAACGCGTTTCGAGGTTAGGAAATGAACACTACCTTACTAAGCGCCCAACCAACCCTAGCAGTTCCGATGGCGTGTTCGGAACTCAACCCGAAAGCCCACACAACACGAAGAGTGCACTCACCAAGCTTCCACCGTATATCCGCAATCACATGCGGCTAGTAGTTAGTAGAGAATGAGACTTACTATAGCATCTCCTGACACGTCTAGAAGTGAGGAGACGACGTAGCACTGCTACTTAGAGCTCGCAATACGGTATGTATGGCAGAAGGTCATTTGTCACTGACGGACACTCATCTCGGCTGTTCATCCTAGGATTTCTGACTGAAATCCAAAACGCCTCTAACGCCTTCCTTGCCGAAATTTCCGTCTCCTGCGCCAATATCGTACACTTGATTTCAAAGTTGTTGCCGTCATGCTCCTCAGATTTATGCCTTCCAAGCGCGAGCCTTTTTTGGACGCACATATATCGGAGAGACTGGAAGGCCGCTAGGTATACGAATAAACGAGCACCTAGCTGGTATGAGACGTGATAGGCTCACGACAGCGCTTGGCAGGCATAAATCTGAGGAGCATGACGGCAACAACTTTGAAATCAAGTGTACGATATTGGCGCAGGAGACGGAAATTTCGGCAAGGAAGGCGTTAGAGGCGTTTTGGATTTCAGTCAGAAATCCTAGGATGAACAGCCGAGATGAGTGTCCGTCAGTGACAAATGACCTTCTGCCATACATACCGTATTGCGAGCTCTAAGTAGCAGTGCTACGTGCGTCTCCTCACTTCTAGACGTGTCAGGAGATGCTATAGTAAGTCTCATTCTCTACTAACTACTAGCCGCATGTGATTGCGGATATACGGTGGAAGCTTGGTGAGTGCACTCTTCGTGTTGTGTGGGCTTTCGGGTTGAGTTCCGAACACGCCATCGGAACTGCTAGGGTTGGTTGGGCGCTTAGTAAGGTAGTGTTCATTTCCTAACCTCGAAACGCGTTTAGGCCTCTGAAGAAGACGACCAAGTCGAAACGTTAGGCCGTAAATAAAGATTTCCACCTAAAAACCTCGAGTGGCATAGCAATATAAACAGAATAAACAACGATGCCGAGGTTACAACAAGAGAGAACTTGGAGAATCTATTTTGATAGTTGATTTTTCGGACGTTGTAAAAGGGGAAGGGGACGTACTTGCTCCTTGTTGGGCGGGGAGAGGGGTCGTATTTACTTTCTGCTTACTTTCTGGCCTTCTGGGAGAGGTGGTTGACTTTTCGTGATTTTCCTGTTTCATGTGTACTATATACCCCCTCCCTCCACTCGACAGCAATTTTTAATTAAAAAAAGCGGAATTTTTTGGGAATTTCCGGAAAAGTGGCAGGAAGTTGGAGAAAACCTGGGGATCAGGGAGGGGGAAGGGAGGGAGGGGTCCTTCTCTTGCGGCTTTTCCCGTTTTACATGTGCAATTCACCCCCCCTCTTCCCCTCCCCCGCTGCCGCTCCATGAGGAGGGACGGAGGGACGGAGATGGTCGTATCAGCACCCAAAAAAAGGAGGGCCGTACGGACTTAACCAATCACTCGTTTTCTACCAATTGCTGTTCCACACCAGCTTCAGCAACACAGAGGACGAGTTTGGTGCCGTGTTACCCTCAAACTGCTTGACACGCGACTTCATATACAGCTGAGTAGAGCATGTAAACGCGACCTAATGGGTGATCCCATTTATATGTTTATTTATACATGTTGGTGCTTTGCTTTGCTTTTCGCTTCACCAAAAAGTGAATTTTGCTAAAATCAATTATTCTAGATTTTCATCCTATTATTGTAATCATTTCAAAATTAACAGGTCTACCGCAGTGAATTTTGCTTTATTCAGAGTGATGTTGATCTTCGCTTGTTGATCTTCCTTCACGAGGAACTCTCGCTGTAAGGGAAGTCAGAAAGCCCCTCCACTTTTTCTATGTAATCCCACCCCTTATCAGATCTCCGACCATCTAGCCCTTACTAACTATCTTGATTATTTCTATCTGCTGAAGATACTCTGCTTTTCATATAATACTAACTGGAGCCAGAGCCTCCTCTTTATTATTTGCACGCAGGCGCGGCCATCGCAACATCTCAGGAAGGTACCTATAGGGGGGGGGGACTATCAAGGAAACTTTCGAGCACATAACAAACGCTCAACGATCAACGGAAAGCAACGTTTAACCAAATAGTGTGGAACGAACGCGGGTGCAACAGCTGCACGATATCCCTCAGATACCCGTGAGTGTGTGAGCTTGCAAAAAATGATTCGGGTCTGACAGACTGCATCACTTCTGTGAAAATACGTGCTCACCAAGAATCGGTGTGATCCACCATAACATATCCGAAACTGGGACGTAAGTATCGTTTGATGTTCCTGAAAAGCGAATTACCTGACTAGTAGGGCAATTGTGACCAAGTCCTGATTTCGGTTTGAAAAGTCATGAACTTGATGTAATGGTATCTATCCCCCAATTGTGCCGTATATATTATGTCCCTTCAAGTACGTGAATTTTTCCCAGGGCGTAGCATGTTTGCAAAGGGATGTCAGCACGACGTTCCTACCCCCCCCCCGCTCCGAGCCCCATATTTGGCTCCGACGAGAAGGGCTGGATACGTAACGACTTGCAAGCTCCTGCTTGCGATTCTAGCGCAAAATGGCGCTGGAGCGGGCTTGTTAAAAGGGCGAAAGTCTCAGTGCTACTTCTTGGAGTGAAAACCTCTCGGGTGCGGACTGTTCAGGAAATAGGTGAGATATTGAAAAGATGTCTCCAGTGCTGCTTCTCCTTATGCTAGTTCCCTCAGTCTGAACCTTTCCCTAGAGGAATATTTTAAACGGTTCAATGGAGAATCGCACGTGAGTTTTTGTACTACAAACGGCAATAACTTCTGTACGAAGTCTTTCTGTAACCAGGGATGTTCTTATACCACCGCCTGCTCTTTGTAAAAAGCGCTACATGTCTTCTAGAGCTTCACTAATTCAGAGGATATCTTGGATGGGTTTCTGATGGGCGAGTTTTCGAGCCGCTTCAAAGATTTACTCCTTTTGTACCGTAGTATGAAATAATGCCCTTAAAATGGCATCAAAACACATATTCTCCTAAACTGAGCGAAGCAGAAGTTGCTCATCATCGAATTTGTCTGAGAGTGTGCCCTGCATTACGATAACACGCAGATGTGGTGGAAAGGTGTAACTTGTAACAATAACTAATCTTGTATCCATGCGAGCATATAATTTCATAGGGTCCGAAAAGATCGGTCCGAGCAACTTCGATGAAGAAAGCGGTGACGCCAGTAACGAAACGATTGCTATACTCCCAGCTATTTCGCCGAGCAATTTCTGTGAGCTGAGACCCAACAAAAAAGCTCTCTTTTTTGAGTATCTGGAGCCGTGGTGGAAAAAGTGCCGGTTTTTCTCGTGCATTAGAACTAATAGGTAATGCTCTGCAATTCGTATATGCGAGACTCAATGAGCGAGATCAATGTGACCTGATGCTTCCAATTAGAGCCTTCTTGTGAGACCGAACTTATGTCATAAACCTACCATACACGCTGCTGCCAAAGCAATTAAAAATGCAAAAGGCCATCTGGAAACGTGTTTTCTCAAAGAGGGAGGACCGGTGAAGGTTTTGCTCTCGGGGTACAGCATTGTTGTGATAACCCATCAGGGAGGGCGTACTTGGCCGCTCAGCCAGGTGGAGGGGTTCGTGAATCCAGGGTCGGTGAGCATCGAACAGCGCAAGAGTGCCATCTTTAGATTTTGTGGAACGGAATCAAGCGGAAGCAGATATGAGATGTTTTCCCTAAACTGCACGCGTGGTAAACAGTACCTCGCCTTCGCACCCGCTTCTCCCAAAAAAAAATTCTGATACGGCTGTTATTTCTGAAGCTTTTCCTTGACAAACCTTTTTCGACCTTTCCTACGGGAAAATAGCATTCTGTTTAAACTAGCGCCACCAGAGTGGTGCATATTCAGGAAGATCTTACTTTTATATTGTCGAACCACTTCGCACGTAGTTCCTCCACTCAGAACTCCCAAGATTGTAGCCCGACTCTTGTTCACACGGTACAGTCCCGCTCCACTGTCTCCCTAAACAGTATTGATATTCCAGCAGTTTTCCTAAGAAAACAGCGTGTAAGTTCCCTTGCTCTTTTTCAGAATTTCTACATTTATTTCCTCGAATTAGCATTATTTACTGATTACCGTTCTCAATCGAATAATAACAGAAAGAAATCGCGCCAACCCCGCAGACTGCACGGTAGTCTCCACCTATATAATACATTCCATTTGAGGCATGGATTCCATCCCCATTATAGATGAGCTTCTGCAGTGTGACATCAGAACGGCGACTTGCTGTAATAAAGTCAGATTGGGATTTCTGGAGATATGTACGAGGGGTGTTCAGTGTACTTTCGGTATCGGTACGAAGAAAAAAAAACAGAAAATTCCGAACAAAATTTATTTTCCATTGTAGTCCCCATAACCTCAATACACTTGCTTGGGAAACTTCTCACTACCCTCTACGAAACATTTTCCCCCCTTGCCCCAAAATGTGCGTTGGTTGCTGATTTCAACTCCTCGTCGTCTGCAATACGCTGTTCACGGAGACCTTTCTTCAGATTGGGGACTAAGAAGTAATCACTAATCATTTTATCAAGTTTCATTGCATTTTCCCCAAGTTTCTTTTCATTTTTCTCAATTTTTTTCATCAATAATCATTTTCTCAACATTGTCGCATCAGTCATTCTGGTCTTCTTTCACCAAGGAAAACTAGATAGCATTGCCTATAACTAAATGAAATTTTGTACCTATACCCTCAGGAAGTGGCGTTACCTTCGGAATGATATGATTTCCGTTGCCACTGCTAAATCAGATACCGAGAATCGTACTTTCAAAGGCTCTCGTATTGCCCTTTTCAGAAGAATTTAGAACTTCAGAAGAGTGGAACATGGATCTTCCCTCTCTCAGCTTTTTCCACATGAATATACTGCCACTGCCAGTCTGTATCGAAGTGGTCTGGACTAGAGTTCCACGAAAGTCTTTTTTTTGAGAAAAAAATGATTTTTTTCGAACTGCAGTTGCTTTCAGACATGTCAGGAAGCTTAGATAAGTTGAGCTAACTTTCGCCGTCTGTATTGCACCGTTCCTCACAAACTTCCACATAACTCAATCTTTCTCAGTCTCAGAGGAATGCACGCCCCGCTTTGGTTCCGATTTTTGACTACCGTTCTGCGACCGTTATAACTAGACGACTTGCCACTACCTCACCTTCGCTTCATAGGACTGCCAACTTTTCAGCGTGCAAAACTTTCAAGTTAGCGTAAAATCTATGCGCGTCTATAAATGCGGCAGGAGCACAAGCACACATATTGCACTGGCGTACAGAGCTCCCCCTCCCAAAAAAAAACTTTCTTTTGCTTATAGGAGTTACTCGGTGCCCTTCTTGTTCTTGAACATAAACCACACCAATTCAAGCCGATCAATGTTCCTTTAATTGGTATCAAGTAGCGACCCAAAATGGGTGTCACCTCACGCACGCCCTCGTTCAGATGAATGGGCGGATGTGGCAGCTCAAAGATCAAAACGTAAGTAAATCCTCTGAAAAACATTTTTTTAGTAAACTCACGATCGTCTCCCCATCCTGCAACATGCGGTCTTTCTCCATGTGATAAGTGGTCCTGTTTTGAAGGAAGACAAATTGGCCACACTCCTTGCTCCATTACTGGCGTGTCGAGTTGAAGAACGGCGATGTCGTATGGCCCATACAATTGGGCGTATTGCGGATAGTAAACCTTAACGGATGATTTCACGCTCGGTAGGAGTGCTTGCAGAAGAATGAGAGAGCCAAACCTGGGGGTAGTTACACTAGAATGCTAGGGCAGAAGTCGAACCGCACGCGAGAGTCAAATACGCATCTCACGCTTTCCGGGCGGGTGCGCTATCCGTGACGCCACCAGGGCAGCTTTTACCGTCTCAGCTGAACGGCTCTAGTGTTTGGTCGCTGTAGGTGAGGAAGGTTTCCCGAAATTTTTTCTAGTGCTGTTTTCTTCCGCTACATGCACATTGTACAATCGTCCCTCCCTTCAGCCGGCTGCGCCGCGAAGATATTGTTTCTGATAGTTGACCGCAGTTGTCTACATTACTCCTATTTCCATTCGGTCAATATTGGGAAAGTTTGGTCAGATGACCGGTTAGTTGCGGAAGGAAGTCGCACAAAAAACAAACAAAGGAGAGTCGTAGTCAGCAAAATTGTCCCCAACGCCAGGACGTGTCCTGGCCCCAGTGACTGTGATCTCTCCCGCATTGTTTTTCTCTCTCTCTGCCTCTCTTTCGTTTGGTGCCTTGCATCCGCACCATGTAGCTTTCAGATAATGACTGTACCTACATCTCATAGACGTGTAGGCCTACTACCACCACACAAAATTCGAAACTCTCATATCGAGGCTATAAGAAGACGTTTCAAAAAGAAAGTTCTGATGAATAAGTCTACAAACGTTTTCTACATGACGAAACTTTGCGTTGTCGCAAGGCATACTGGTGCAGTTGCTACCGACTACAACATCCAGGGAAGTGTGGAAGGAACTGGCATTCTCCCTGGAAATTCCGATAATCTGATGTATTGGCTCACAAACGATTAAGCTTTTGTCTAAAATAAAATTTCGCAGATAATTTTATATGGTTTTTCGATGCCTTTCAGACCAACTAACAGAAATCCTGTTTTCTGAAAGAGATAAGGTAGATTTCACCTTGTTCAAATTTCGATAACTTTGAGGACATTGGGACTAAGCCAGTATTAATTCTCACGTACCCGATAGCACTAACGGTGAGAAGCAATACAGCATCAGAATGCTCGAAAATGAAGGGCGAGGGCGGGAGGCGATACGGGGATTCGATGCCAGGTCACGCTTGTGGTAAGTGGCTTCACTTGAAAAGTGGCTTCACTTGCCACTTTACTCCTCCGCTTAGCCAACATTTTATTATGGTTGATTCTACACGATAATGAATAACAGAAAAAAAACTAGTAAAATGCCTCTTCAAGGCTTTTTCCAGGTTTTTTCCGCGGTTGCAATTGCCCTTCATCTGGCGAAAGTAATTTATAAGCTGGTTTGGTAAGCATCCAGCTGGACCCTGTGAGGCGTTGTTTGGTGCGATTCTTGTTTACATGGGAGAAACTGGGATCTCTGAATCAGGTCATCTCACTGAAAGCGGGTAAGATTTTAATCAAAAAAAGAAGTGAATAGACTTAGCCTCTGCAAGGGGATGGGGCACTCAAGCACACCTTCTCTCAATCACTTCTCAGCCACTACTGTTTTTCGTTTTTCCGTCTTCGGACTTCAATCATTGGACTTCTACACCTGGTTTTTCACATTCCACTTCCGCCTTTGCACCATTCTATTCCTTTCCATAGAGTGATGCAAAGGCGTCAGTGGTGCACCACAAGATTACCTATAGCAGCGCACCTTCCTTTTACGACCTGATTCGACAGTGCAGCACTAGTTTTCACTTCTTTTTTCACCTTGAATTTATCTTCGATTCTCGCGTTTTTCGGTCCTTTTGGCCAGTATTGGCCAATCTGAACTAAAACTTAGCTGAAATTCGGCGGAGCCAAAAAATCCTTTGCCGGAGGCTATATCAGAGAACAATACTCGGTCCAGAGAGGTGTGTATTCGAGTACCAGTTAGATACACAAGATGTTCCTCTATAAGCAGAATAGCAGGCTCTCGTCCATCACCTTCATGTACAATCAAGTCATCTGCGATCGCAGCCGAAAAGTGAAGGTGTAGTGCCAGTGCGAAATTGAACAATACTCATCAAGCAGCTTCGACAACGTCGCCATGGCTCATCACGATACCATATTCCTTGCAGTCGCCAAGGCCCGGGTTGGCGGTATGGACCAAAAGTTCCTGGAACGGAAAGACCGATTTCATCTTCGTGGACCTCGGTCTAAAAGTGATCGCTGACTGTCACATAGAACAGCTTTTTTTTTGCTCCCGTTGAAAAAAATTCTCGCCTACGGAATCGAAAGGCGTTGAGTACCTGAAAAAGACGGAATCAAGGGTGACACGTGACCTGAACCCCCCTCGATTACCGGTTCTGGCGGAGCTCAACAAGCTGGTCCACAGTGGCGGAGAAATCAACGACCTCGCTGAACTCAGGCACCGACTCAAGGTCACATGGCAGAACCTCTCGATGAAATTCGTGTGGAAGGCTGTGGCGGAGTTTCACGATAGTGCAAGTTGGTGGTAGGAACGTCCAACCAGAGTTTGAGGAAGTTACCCTGTTTCCTTCTGTCACTAGCTAGCAAACTACAAAGAAGCCAATTCCCCCATCCCCCCACATTCGACTATCCTGCCATTCCAGTTTTCACGTGGTAAATAAGACCACCTTGCATAAGAAATTTATGCTTTCCAGGTCACATCGAATTTTAACCGTAGACCTGTAGAATGTACGACTGGAATTCTATCAGCCTCCAGCTTTTGACTGAAGCGGAAAAGATGAGGCAAAATTGCTACATTGTCAGTATGAAGTCTTCATGGGCCTTCCAGGGAGATGCATTTTCGTTGTCTCGGCGTTCTAGTTAATCCACTCACAAAAAATTAGCAATAATTAAAGAAAAATAATCAGGCACTCTCTTTCACAGAGGAAGAAATCCGTCAAACTGTCAAATGAAAACAGCGAAACACTTCATCAGTCCAAAATTGGAAAAAACGCAGTCAGTTACGGGCCAACCCAATAGAATCTAGTCGCTGCTATTATCACAACCAGACGGGTCGATTTTCAGAGGATAACTTGACGCCAACCTGGCCGCTTGCCACGACAGTTGCTTGTTCTTCTGCAATCGCAACTAGCCGGTACGCATATAGAAAGTCGCAGCAAGACAATGGAGGGCGGTTCATGCGCCCTTGCCGTTACACGCCTCCGACTGTCCGCAATGTCATGACATTCGCGTAGTAAGAGAGATTCTACGTGACGGCCGTGTTGTTTGATTACAAACAAAAATCGCGTAAATTTACTGTGCTCATTAGGCATTTTTCGTTCCACATCAAAATCTCACGACAAACTTACATTGGTAAAAAACAATGCGCTGCTGTTAATATGTGTTCGTTACTGATCAGTGAGCCGCTGCATCGGTAAACTGGAATACTAGTCATCATAAAGGCTGGTAATGATGGTTCATGATGATGGTTTTGCACTTCAAGCATAGGATTTTATTGCCAGCTTCTAAAGCCAGTAAAGCTGGAAGCCTAGAGAGCTGCTGTTTGTCGGTGTGCATCGATACGGTTTGACGTGCGGTATGTTTGCGTGATGATCTTATACGGTAACTAAACGCTAAGTATGTTTGCGTGTACGTGTCCATCCGTTTGCACGACATTGACAGCCTCTGCCTCCGCCAGCGGGCATAGTCATTTAAAAAAGTGTGCTACAGAAGGCCGGACCAAACATATGGTGGGAGAAGGAGGGAATATAGAACATCCGCGAAATGTCCCGCTATAGGCAGTTGGAAGGAGTCACATTAACAGACTTTAGAATTGCTCCTGAATGATATAAGTTATAGAGGATCCTACTATATAATTCACTAAGTATGTCTGTCAGTGTATGTGTGTGTGTGTGTGTGTGTGTGTGTGTGTGTGTGTGTGTGTGTGTGTGTGTGTGTGTGTGTGTGTGTGTGTGTGTGTGTGTGTGTGTGTGTGTGTGTGTGTGTGTGTGTGTGTGTGTCGTCTGTCTGTCACGAAATTCATAGCACCCGTCGCAGTAAGCGTGGAACGTTGGTTCCAAGAAGTGATATAGGGGTGGGACGGGAACATTATTGGCGGGTGACAGTCAGTAGAGTGATAACAGTTGATAAGTTCCATAATGAGCCTTGGAAGGGAAGGGTCACCGAATCCGTAACGCAGGTTACAGCAACAGCGGGACCTTGGATCCGAGAGGTGATATAGGGTGTGGGACGGGAACATTATTGGCGGGTGACAGAAAGTGATAACAGTTGATAAGATCCGATAAGGGGCCTCGGAAGGGGAGGATCACCAAATTTTCGTAAACGCAGGTTATTACAGCAGTTAGTAGAGGAGAACATCGGATTCCGAGACGGGTGATAAGGGTCTCCGCGTGATAATGATACTGATATGGGGCCGCGAAAGATTACTGGCGTGCTGGGACCGAAGTGATTAGGAGCTGAAAGCTGACGGAATAAGATGGAAAAATCGCTTTATGCTCACAACAACAATGCGATTGGTATGACTCAATTACTGTTAATTACTGTTTTCGAAGAATTGTAACTAACTTATCAATATTGGAACTTGTATATGTAATGTGTTCCGATCTTTTTTCTCACATATGCCTTATGCACACGTAATAAACTTATTCTTATACTTACTTATGACTCAAGTATAACGATCTCAATGATTCCAACAGAACTCATTCCTCTTTGCTTATTAGTAACGACATCATGTACGACCGCTAAGCTAGCTCTATTCCAAATGCATGGGGTTTGTTTACAGAGATGTTATGAACAGCAGCAATTGACTTAATCACTCTTACCACAATTATCTTCCATCAACAACCTTAGTGAGGGCCATTTAAAGGGTTCCACTGCTGAATGCGGGAGTGCATTCCAAAGCAAGACGCTTTAAGGGACAGAATGCATAAATTATAGGCTGCTTCAGCGGCTATCCTAACAGGCTGCACTATTCCCGTGTAGGTTATGAACGTACCAGTCGGATCGCTGGCTAAGGCCGGCTCTCCTCCTTCTGTGATGCGGGGGCGCTGCTGCTGCTTCTGCGTCTTGACGGAACGAGCGCTGCTTTTCAGTTCTTGGCTGATGCAGAAGATTCCTTTGAACAGTGTAGTTGACCGTAAATCAGCACGCGGCAAATCCGCTTGGCCAGCGAAGCCGAAGTCACAGAAGGAGGAGCGCCCGGCGACAGCTGGGCGATCCGACTGGTGTAAGACGAAATGTGTAACTGTTGGTGGGTGATAGGAAGTGATAGCAGCCCATAAGATCTGTAACGGTAGCATCCTACCATGGAGGCGATTCCCACGATCAAGTATTACGGGTAGTAAATGCACTCAAAGGCAGTTGGCAAGATACCATGTACACCTTGAAAGAGAACAAAGGTGCCCAGTGAGAAATAGTGTTGAGGCAGTGGACGAGCGAACGGCTGACTCTGGCGCTGCTTTGGACGAGTCTACCAACTGAACTGTCCATTGCTGGCAAAAACTCAGCACGTTCTACGTCGCTATACGTTACACTATGCCGTTAGTCCAATGGTAGGTGGGGGGGGGGGCGAGGTGGGCTCGTCCGGGCCGGTATGTTGCCGCTCCAGGGCGCTGAAGGGGTATCTTCCTTGGAAAAGGCGCTACTCAGTGCCTCTTCGTCACGGAATTCTGTCATGCCAGTCGTATTAATCTCACTAGTCTTTAAGGATCTATCGCGCCAAGTGCCTTTGAGAAAGTTGTACACATAAGCGGCTTCGAGCTGGGGTCCGCCCATAAATGAATTATAAGGTGGTTGTCCTATCAATACCTTGTTTTGCGCGGTTAACTGATTATGATGAAGTACAGTATGCTGCTGCGGGTGTGTTAGATGGGATGGATTTGTCGCGGCTCCAAGCCCATTTTCCACTAGTTGTCGAAGTGAGCGGCAAGACTTGTTCATATCCTTCGATCAGTCCTTATCCTCCGTATCAACAACTGGAGAGAACGGGTATGACGCCGCGCCCCACCTCGCCGGAGCAGTTGCTGTATCTAAAAGATTTTTACGAGCGTGATAGGTGCGTTCAATTCACCTTGCAAATAGATGCACCTTGAAGCCCAGAAAATAAGGTGACGTTTTCCGCGATTATACTGAGTCGTTTTACCTACTGAAGCGCAACTTTGGTTCTGCGATATCTTGTCATTCACCCATCAGTATATCATCAAGTAACATTTCTAAAACTTACATTTACTATGATCTTTCAACAGCAAAACTGCCCACGGTATCTCTCCTCTGCTTACAAGTTGCCCACCAAGCACTTTTAGACGCCTCACAACTGGG